TAGTAATACAAAATTTTGCATGTATAAACTGTACTATAATAGTCAAACAAGGATATCTGAACCGGTGAGAGGCGCTGCTATCGCGGTTGGTTCTTCAGACAACATATAAAACCTACTTAGAGATAGAATATGACAGAAAACAAAAAAGCCCGTGACAGCTACAGTACAAAGAGAATCTTGCTATATATTTTGACGTTGACAGGGGGGCGCTAGTGAGCTGTCATAATTTAGTTTGACTTATGCGGTTTAAATAGCCTTGATGGTCTATACTTACTGATCACCAGTTAAATAACAGGATAGAACTAGATGAATAGTAGGCACTTATGTACAGAAGATGCCCCAAAAACTGGCAATACCGGTGATACAATATACTAAGTAACTTTTTTAAAATTATTTTCGTACTGCTAATCTACAAAATAAATAAATTATTTTTATTAGTATTGTATATTGACCTTAGTTTGACCGAATAATACAGTATACTTATAATTTACATTATGATTGTGAATATAAGTACATTGTTCCTTTATTTCCATAGAAATAATTTACACTGTATCCGACTGACTCATTTATAAACAAAAAACTTTAGCACCTGAAGGTAACTTGAAGTTATTTATTTGAAGAGCAAAAAATAAACAAGTAAGAAACGGCCAAAAAAACTGAACAACTATTATATATATGAAAAGAAATAAAAGGTACTTTAAATTTATTGTTAGGTTACAAAGAAACTGAAGTTTCGTTACATTGGAGCCGCCATTGCAAGGCGATAAGAAATAAGACTTCACTTAACAACAAACTACATCTTTACTGTGGATTTCTGAGACCGAAATCTCTATTTAAAAAATACAATTTCTGTTTTGTCTAAGATAATGAATGACAGGGATGACGATGTGTTTTTTAGAGATTCGATCTCAGAAACCATAGGTTAGTAACCTGACCAATAAAAATTAATAAACGAAATATTAAAATTGAATTGTTATATTGATCAAATTAAAAGTCAAACTCAAAATATTTGTTTTTTCATGCTAATTTAAGTTTGTAAGAATTTACAAAGATGTACTTTTAAAGTGTACACTAATTTGTTAATTTAATCCTATTATGAGTAGTTGCCAAAGTACTTTTCTTCTAATATAAAATTTTGGTGTAATGAGTAGTCGTTATATAATAAAAGATTTCCTACTCAAGTATAATGTAATTCTCGTTTAGTTATTCACAACAAGTCATTTTAGCATAAACTTGAATATAATTAAATTAAGCCGATGCTATGCAAAATGTATGCAAAGTTTCAAGGCGTCCGTCAGAAGTGGGTCGAGTCAGTATTAGCACGGATGAGTTTAAACAAGGTGATGACATATTTGTTATGACGTTAAGTCGTTCCTCAAATAATTATCTTGATGTAGATTTAACTAACAACTTTTATTGCATTTAAAGGCAAATTTTATTAAGAACGTAATAATTGAACTCTTCAGGTAATAATTATTATTAAAACCTAAATATGTATATTAATGAAAGTTTTGATACACTATAATTCAAAATCGGCTGAACCGATTTGTCTGAACATTAATTGGATGGTAGCTTAGAACCAGGAGATGGACATAGGATACTTTTTATCCCGTTTCGGACGGAGTTGCGGGCAAATGCTAGTTAAATATATATTTCGGAGTAAAGGGGACATGTTGTTCATAGTGTTTTGGTGAATTGATTTGACTTACAGAGTCCCTTGGGGCAGGAGCCGGTGGCGGGGCCGACCTCGAGCACAGTGACGGCGCCGCCGCCCTCCACCAGCGGGGGGAACCGCAGCAGCGTCAGCGGCTCCTTCTCGCTCTTCATTATGGTGCCGTTGGTGATGAACACCGCCTTCGAAATATCGCACGTCTCCGCCGGCTCCGGGGATACCAGGTCCTAGAAAAATTTATTGCAGAGCACTCTTTCAATACTTTATCTTACGTACCTATCAAAATGAAAAAAAAAAACACTTTAGGGTACTTTCATAGCTTGGTGACAAGAAGATTAAATATTAATTGATCGTAATCTATGTACAAACCTTGGGGCACTCATTGATCCCGATGACGAGATGTTCGCAGTTGAGAGTCTTGGACTTGCTCTCGATGACGACCTTGGTCTTGCCCTCCTCCACGGTCTTCGTCTCCACCGAGTCTATGGGCCGGTTGAGGCAGTACACGCCACCGAACACCGCGCACAATCTGAAAGTGCCGCACTCTATTCATATCAATGGCGACTTATTATCGTAAGACTTTATAAGTCAATTGGGCTGTAACACTAATCGTGAATTTCTGAGACCAAAATCCCGATTTAAAACAAACCGTTATCTCTGTTTTTTTTAAAGGTACAACAGAGATGGCGATATGTTTTACACAGAGATTTTAGCGTCGGAAACTAACGGTAAATTCGGCCATCAGTACTATCAAATCTATTCTTCAAAATAGTATTGTTTGACAAGTGAATACGCAACTAAGACACAGCGGCGGATCTAAATTCTTCAACGTCTAAAATTAACTACAACACAGCATTGTATATATTTAATATGTGTCAGAGAAAATGCCAAGCATGTTATAAATAATAATCGATTTCACAGTTCTGTAAGCAACTTATACCTTAGCTACTTTTAGACCGAACTTTAGATTTATTGCTGTATTCTTTTAAAATAAATTCTTAAATAACTTTTGAACCGTTTTATAAGTACTGAAAGTACCTAGTAGGGTTGTAAACTTGAAAGACTCCGAATGTTTTATAATAACCTTGGGAATTGCTTTTAGAATAGTTAGTTACACGTCGTTCTCAATTTAGTCGACGTGACCCATTGTCAAATACACTTAGCCTGAATAACTGAAGTCATGGGTCTTTACTTAAATTAATTTAGTAGATTGAGAGGCGGCCAAGCGCTCGGGTCACTTTGTTCCCCAAGGGAACCTCTTACGAGAGGAAAAGGGATTCGTTCCAAGTACATTGGACCGAAAACAATTAACTGAATTTAGTAACTAGGCCATAAAATATTAAATTTGATAGGATACCGATTTAGTGTTTATACATTTCTTAGAATAAATCGTAAGTTTATTGAAATACATTTTGTTCGAGATATAGTGAATATTGAAACTCCATCATCAGCTCACTATACGTCCTCACCGTTAGGGCGATTAGGCCATAGTCAAGCACGCTGGCCCAATGCGGGTTGGTTGACTTGACACATATATTTGAATTTCTTCTCAGATATGTGCAGGTTGCATCTTTGTTTTCCTTCACCGTAAGAACGTCGGATAAATGTACATATGTAAATCGGAAATCGAAAAACACATTGGTACATGACGGGATTCGAATCCAAGAACTGTAGATTGCAAGTCAAGTGCCTGACTCCTGAGCCACCGACGCTCTCAACTCCATCAAGACTGAGATATTAATCGTGTAGTTGGGAGCACAGATCACAATAACGCCTATTTATTGTTATGCATATATCTTTCATGACATAAGAATCTAAAAAAGGAATCATTGATACTGTTCCCGTTGCGGAAACAATTGTATACCAAAACGTTTTTTTTTCTCTTTGGTAAATAGATGGCAATGCGTTTTTATAAATGTTTCATAACCTAAAAATGGAACATACTTATTACTTATGTGAAAGCATTGAATCGTTGTAGTTAATAGGTTTTTTTTTACATAATTTTCAATTTAGGAAATCTGAATCCTCGGCGCGTGCAGTTAGAAAGTTCTTATTTTAGTGCGGTGTGGCCGGCGGCGGCGCGATGCACATCTGGGTCGTTGAACTGCCGAGTTCCCGCCGAACACTTTCATGGCGGATTATTTTGCACAGACCAACAGTGCGAAGATTTATTGCGTGATTTTTGTGAAGTTTTTAATTAATATGAAAGGTAGGTTAAGTATTAATATCGTAAACCAACAACCAACAAATTGTATTAAGGTTGGAATATCTTTAATGATTAGAAATCATGATACAAAATAAAAATTGTTCCTAAAAAATTAAAGCCACACTATTCTTCAACCGTAGAACTAAAAGCGTATCTTTGCACATCTAAGGAAGTGTTCAGTCTAGGGTGGAGAGCAGAGCAGATTTTTTATGGCAAATAAAATTGAGCTTTATAAGATTCACACAAGGTTTAATTTTGCTCTGCACATTTGTTATCAAAGAGTAAGCGTTAAAAAGTCGTGAAATATATCCCTGGTCTGTGTGAACGAACCCTAACAGTGTGTTGCTGTATTTAATGAATCATCGTAAAATTTCCAGTATCTCCGCTAAACCATGACCACAACGATTCACCAAAAAATCTCGCATCCTACATATCTTCGCAACATTTTTCGCAAATAAAAAATATGCGTGGGTTTGTACTTACCTACAGAAGCACTGCGGCAATTCCCCGCTGCCGTACATGGGCCAGAGGAAAGGCGTGTTGCCATAGCGACCGAGGCTCATGAGGAACTTCTTGCATTCCCTCACGCCCTCGAGACAAGGCATAGCGTCAGTGCCACCAGCGATCGCAAACAACACGTAATGGATCAGGTTCGGCGTCAGACCCTTGTGGGTTAGATATTCCTTGAAAGTCTTGTCGTTCCAATCTAAATCAACATATAAATTGTATAATTAAAGGAAACATCAAACAGTTTGAAGTTTTAACTTTGTTTCGTCTGATCGTGTAGAACGGGCTTTAGTCTGGTTTATCTTAAGAATAAAATATTCCAAGTAAAGTGTCTAGACCTAAAATACAGTTGATATACTAAATTAAATTCAACAAAATGCATTTATTAACATTAGAATCAACTGTATTGACTTTTAGCTCGTACCTCTCACGGAATTCAATCCGGAATTTTTATGGTTCTAACATAAGATGTTAAACATATGTTTAGTAATAAATTCCACTGAAGCTTCTAATAAGATTCAATAAAATTATTTTTAAAAAGCTATTTATCCGAAGTTATTAGACATTCTTTTGCAGTTATTCTATTTTTGATTGAAACTAAAGATTTTTCTTTGATATTCAACCTTATCGTGTAATAATTTAAGATTAGATTTAAATCATTGCACCTAAAGCTTCACTTTAAACGTAAACAAACACACGTTCACTTTATTTAAGATAGCTGCATGATGCAGTAATAAAACGTAACATCAATGTTGAAAAATAAATTTCCGTATATCAAACAATACTAGACATCTTATTCATTAAAAACCAAATCCGGAACATTTGAAGAGAGAAAATATTTAGAGTTTATCAAAACTACAAACAGTTGTTCTGTGGACTGACAGAGAAATATCATATGTTGTCATTGTCTACTTTAAAAAAATATATATCGGATACAAGATATACTTCACTGGAACAAAAACAAACACAATTAAATACCCAAGCGACCTATCCAACGAAAACAGTTACGTTTCATGAAATCTCCTCTGAGATGTAACTCTTTTCTTCGGGCGAGTAAATTTTTTTTAGTACCTTTGAACTCGTTGTTCATTTCTTCTTCATTGTAAGCAACAATGGAAGTGAGCATCTTCATGAGCATACGCTTCTCCACGATGCCGACTGCTTCTGTGGCGAAGACATCGGCCCGGGAGCAGGGCACGGGCACCAGGTGGTCATCCAGCCAGGTCAGCACGCGCGTCACGCAGCGGAACTCCGCATAGCGAGCGATATTAGATGATATCAGAAGTTCCACCAGCGGACCGCGGGAGAACAGCAACTGGTAATATGAAACGCAGTTTAAGACTATCGAAAGGTATCTTTACGCAAAAAACGCGTAATAAAATATCTGAAAATCTAACAATTTCAGATATTTTATTACGTTTACTTAATGTTTTTTTTTCTATCTCATACTGTGTCTTATTTTTCCCACGTAATAAGTTAACGGGTTAATATTTTACGTCCTTTCAAACGTTCTGGATACGAATACGTTGTAAATAAAATCTTTACATTTGTTTATAATAGTTTGTTATAAGAAATGTAACACACCACATTTCGCAAACTATATTCATAAAGTTTAAGAGTAATAAAGTCACGGTCGACCAAAACACGGGCGTGACGAAATTGGTTCTGTTTTTGCCCGTACCGTCGGAGGACTTTGCAAAAACAAAGCGAAACATTCCACAGACTTTAACGTTAGCTCAAAAACTACGCTGCCAATCGTCGACTAATTTTTGACTTCCTTCTATAACTATAATTGTATAATTCAACATGTCTTTTTCTACAGAAATATTTGCGCAACAATGACATTTTAGAACAGAACACAATCCGAAATCAGTAAAGTTAATTTTCGTTATTTTTCTTTACTTTAAGAAAATAAAATGTAATGACGAAGTGATTCTTGGTATTTCCTTCATGTATTAAATATTTCAAATTTTCACAAAATTGACATTTAGATTAACACATCGGATGCTACTACGATTATTTAAAACTCGACTGTTGAGTCGGTGGCACTGAAAGTGCATCTGCATGCAACAATATTAACGATCCAAAATAACTGTTTACATCATAAAGTTTTGCCCACTTCCGATCACAACATCAATATATGAAATCAAACGACCGGACATGTCGACCGCACAATGTAAATATTTCTTTCCATGAGACGTAACATAAAACTGGGAATAAAACTTATTTGCAGGTGCCATCGAGCGATAAATTCGATCATATAGTCTTGTTGCTATCTGCGGATTGCATTTCTACACGCTTATACTCCTTATATTGCGACGACAAAAATAATAACCGTGGGTTTCTGAGACCGAAATCTCCGTTTAAAATGTATTGTTATCCCTGTTTTTTTTTTAAGATAATGACAGGGTTGACAATGTGTTTTATGCAGATATTTCTGTCTCAGAAACCAACGGTAATTGTCGAGAGTTTATAGTTAGAGAGTTTTTTTTGATTCAACTTCGTCCAGGTGGCCGTAGCTAAGGATTAGAAGCGATCATATTTAACTATTACGTAACACATTTTTAGTCAGCCTGATACAAAATTTAACAAAGGAGCCTAAAATAAAAAAAAACAGCTAATATAAAAATAAAACAATATGTGAATTAGATGTTCAGATTAATCTAACCAGTTAGCTTGCCAATCTAATTTATTGACATTTACAATCTTATCACACATAATGTTCGATTACAGATTGTGTTCTTTGGAGTGTTAATATTTGTATACCATAAGCTTGTGTTATAATTGCTTTAAATTTTGTATAGTAAACTATAAAAGAATGTAACTCACATTATTGTCATATGTTAATCAAAGATTCAATATTTTCCTACAAAAGGATATTGATTATTCAACAATGAGAATTATAACAAAACTTACTATGGCCCGAAAGGAATTGATAAAATAAATTAGTAAGTAGCCTATGCACTATTAAGACAGTAATCTATCTCTTTTTCATAATTAGTATTAAAAATTCTATTTTTTTTCTAAAGCTGTGCTTTACAAAATGTGGTCCATTTTTATTATAAAAAACTGACAAACCTTTTTCTTCAAAGTAATTTCAAAGAAGTTTTTATATCTTTTTTAGATTTTTTGAGTCTAAAGCGGCCAGTTGCCTCCCGGCCCCTTGCCAATGGCTAAGTTTACCAGTATTAATAGAGACTACTACATAGGTTTAAGGGCATTCTTATTTGAAATGTACATATATGTAGATATCACACTTACCTTTGGGGTCATATCAATGTTGAACTTCCTGTACTCCGCTGCAAAGCTGGCCTGGCTCCAAATCTTCTTTGATGGTTCTGTTTTACCATCTTCTTTTGCTTCACCTTCGCCTTTTTCTTCTTCAGGTGGAGACTCCCTATATATAATTATTCATTTAATTAAAAAAAAACTATTATTTTACACGACATTGTTATAAAATTCCACCACTAGATACATGTTTAAAAAATTATTGTCTTTTTCAATATGTTTCCATAGTGAAAACCAATATTATTTTACTAACAAATGTATGTCACATAACTTATCATAGCAAAATTAAATGTAAATAAAAATACCCACTTTTCAATGTACCACTGCTCCCTCAAGTTGTAAACTTGAACTTGTTTTTCGGGATCAGAGTTGACTTCCTTGATGAACTTCTGCAGGCCATCAAAGTTGTAGGAAGCCCAGAGACCACCATAGTGGTCACTAGAGTCCAGGTGGAGGACATTCTTGTGTATCCTACTGCATGCAGCGGCCACAATGGACTCCACCATACCTTCATAGAGTATTTACTTATGAGAAGTTATTTAAAACAAAAAAAAAACTTTACATACTGTTTCGAACAGAATTTAGAGAGCTTTGCCTCACAAATATTTCCAAAGGAATCTTCCTTTTGGTTGGGATCATGATTTTGATTTAAAATAAATACTTCACTATAAATAACGTTAGCCTGTGTTCCTTGATAAAAGTTCTTGAAATTTTGACAAGAACATTGATTTTGTGAGCCATAGTAAGAATTGAATTGTGAGTCATTATAAGAAATCTACAATTTTTTTTTACTTAATGGTAACTATGTTACTCCATACACTATGTTATTCCAATAAGAATTTCCTAACTTTATTTTTTATAAAGGCTGAAATCATCGTTTTATTTTAATTTGTACTATGCTGTTATATTGTTTTAGAATTAATTGTTTAATCTAACTATATACCATTGATGATTAAAAAAAAAACAATTGCCAAATATACACAATGACAACGTTTGCAACTTAACGCTATACGCATGTATTTAATTAATGGGGTAGCAGCAGCATATGGTGTATAAATTTGTATCCTTATATACTACGGAATATTATTTTATATTCGAAAGTACCTTGGGGTTATTCCGTGATAATATTTTAAGAGAAAAATGTACATTTCATAAGCAATGGCTGAAATATACGACACGTTCAATAGCATGACGAAGCGAGCAAAAAAGAATAAGATCGATACTAAAGTAGGCTAGTCGCCATCACGCCCGGTATCAATTTAAAAGTAAATTATGCCTCACCTGTCCCAACCACGATGACCTGGAAGTCGGTCGGTAAGTCGTCATCCATATTGTCGACTTATATTGCACTAAGGGAAATAATTTCTTTATTAAATTGATTAAAATATGGAATGTCCTACCCCTTCACAAAGAATTTTACTTTCTCTGACATTTGACAGTTGTCTGTGGTTGTGTGACAGCTGCAAAGATTTTTTTTGCTTGAGTTGGTGTTGACACTCTGTAACCAATTCGCCCAGATACTCTATGGTAGTATTTTAATACTAATGGTTCCTTATGAAAGTAACTTTACTGTAAAATAAATGTTTGAGATAATAATATGATGTCCTGTTTTATTCGGTGCAACACAGTATAAATAGTGCTTTCAAAAACAAAAATCGCAATGCAAGTTTTTCTTTTAAATCTAAATTAAATTATTATCAAACATTTACTTAATTATCAAAGGATAAATATTCAAAAGGCACCTAATTACCCTTTCTAAGCTCGAACTTTTATTTGAAGCCCTTTTTAGGTGGAAAGCTTACCAACAGTAAAATGAAGTCTTTACTTTTGAGATTGATTGATCTAGATTAGAAAAGCCAAGGTAAGCGGTAGGCTTAGTCCTAGTGTCCTGGATCTTAAAGTTGTTTATGGCCCATTCGTAAGTCAATTTTGGTATATCAACTTCTGTTCCCAACCTTTTTTTGTAAGGAAGGAATGTAGAGGTGAATTTGGCGGACGCAGTGACGCATAGGAAAGATCCGTTCTGTGAGTTCCCCCCTCTTCTGTCGATTAATTGGCAGCGGTTACTTCTTTATTTTTACGTATCTGAAAACCGATTGCTTGTTTGCATGTTTTATATGCACGATGCACCTTTGTATAAATTAGCTGTAATTTCTTGAACTATTTCTTGATAAATGGTAAGTGAGGACTAAATAAGAGCACCTGAGAAATACCAACTCTATCTTATTTAGCAAATAATAACTAAAGTCCACCCAGTAATATTTATAATTTCGTTGAATATTATTTTTGTGCAAGAACATCTACTGATTTCAAAAGTTAATAGTGTGATTAGATATGTAACGTAAATATTTTAAAATGGCAAAAATGTTTACTTATCAATTACGACAATATTATTTATGTCCATGAATACCCAATTTTTTGCCATTTTAAAATAATTCTGGTAATATATTGTCTTGGTCAATCTATAACATTAATTAACACTAGAAGAATTCAAAATATTAAATACTCATATGCGTATATTGTAAAATGAAACAACAGATGATTCGGTTTTTATATTTACAATGTTTTTTTACATACATTTCAACATTTTACAGGCTACCAGGAGCTCTTTTTAATTCGAGCAACGAACAGTTACATAAACTAACACGTAAATCTAGATCGTAATAAAAACGAGTCGTGTCAGTTACTACGGGGCCCGAGCGACACGGGCTCGGCACACTTGAATCAATAAAATCCCTGTGTCCGTGTAACATTTATTAAACAAGAACAGTGGCAGTTTCCTTGGTGAGTGACTTCGTTCGAGCATTTAGGCCGCTTCTAGCTAGCGCTCCTACATCTTTTTATTGTTCGAAGGACGTAAAGGTATCGTGGGCCCTTACAAATGTTGAATAGATGGCAAACAACTATCTAAACATTAAAACATTTTTTTAAATTGACTGCACCGACATCTACCCTAAAGAGTTGACACTATCTACATCGTACAAAAACCATGGAGTCGGCAAACTTTGAGATAGCACTTGTTTTGAAAAAGCTTCGTTAGTTCAGAGTGGAAAACTTTGAAGGAGTGGCCATTGTCGTTGGTTGAAAATCCGTCGACAAAAACAATTCGACGCGCCGTCTATTGCGTTAGCTGTTTGACCTGTGGTTTTTTTCTTTTATTTTCTTCAAATTTTACGGATTGTGCGAAAAGAAAAAGTTTTATTTGTACCACTAAGTATATTGCTTATGATCTTTACAAAGTCGATACTTTCAATAACACATTCCAGCAATGGGTAAAATACAGTGAGTTGCAACCGTATCAATTCTTACACAGAAAACTGTAAATTACATTTTCACCAATTCCTTGTATTTATTTCAAGTTCTTACAAAGTCTAGAAAAACATTTCTTTGGCAACATTCATAATACTATTTTATCAACTGTCAACATTTTTATAAAAGAAAAATAATATAAAAGGAACAACAGCACATATTATAGATAATGTTAATATTCAAACTAAAAATATCTGTTGGTCTATACTGAGTTATAAATGTAAAAAAAACAAGTGACTAGAAAGCTATCACACATGACTGGATGACATTAAACAGTCAAAAACCAAGGATGACAAGACTTATGCTCGGTTTCCGAATCACTTGTCAACTGTAATTGAACGAAAACTTCTGTTCCACATTAAATATTTAATTTAAATTAATTAATTTTTAATTGATTGTTCTTTCAGAAACCGGACATTAGTCAATTACAAAGAGATAGACTGTTCTATTGTTAGCAGAAACACATATACAAAAAGCGTGATATAAATACGTACTATTCTCCCGCGTTAATATTATCTAATATTCTATTGTAAATATAAAGCTGTGTACAAACTAAGGTATACGGTCGTAACAAGTTAGTTCGATAGGAAGCCTATTTCGAAGACTTAAGAAATGCAAACATTTTCCCTCTTTAAATTATTAGAGAACATCACATTATAACATATGATATTTTTATTTAAATTAATTAAAAAAAATGCATAAGGGAAACCTTTTAAAAAATAAATGCCATAAATTGTCAAAAAAACTGTTGTAAACACTAGTTTGTACTCAACTTTTAAAACCAGTGAAAGAAATCCTAGGTAGGATAAAATAAGCAGAATTCCTATACTGTAGTTTCGTTTGTTATAATTCGATCATATTTAATTATTAGGCGATCGGTTAGGTGTATCGTAAAAATATTTCGCTATTATTTCATTTATGTACATGAGTAAAAATTTTAAGATACAGATACAATAATGTCCTAATTATTATGTACTTATGTGCCTATAAAAGTCTAATTCGGTAGATCTTTTTATTACCCAGTACTTTAAAAAAGAACACTAAACGGTGAAAAATGATGGCGGAACTACCACCGTACTCACATACCGATTAGCTGTAAACATGGAATAAATATATCCGGTGAGACTGGAGCGCTTACACCCATTGAGATATTATAGATAGAGCAGTTGAACGCTTCAATTAGTTACGAGGGGAACGTAAAAAATGCCGTTACTTATAATATAGCATGTGCGCTTAGACAGACATTATATTATTATTTACTTTTAGGACGACTCGAGGTTTTATTTATTAACTACACTCTATATATAACATCCCTAAGGTTCACTACGGGAAAAGGAAATATCGTCACCAAACCCGAGGCAACAACGACGTAGTTTAGCCGAGAAGGTGGAATAAAAGAACAGTTAAGCTAATAAATCTCAGGAAGCTCAACAATCCCATGCCGCGTACACGATGCACCTACAAATAAATCTTATCACGGTCTGAAACATCAACATCGCGAAACATCAATATTAACAAAACAAACTATTTACACACGCTCTGCACTACACACATATTAAAATATCGACGCACTCGTTGCTTCCAGTTTACGTTAAAGCTTTAGAGTAACGAAATATATCGTTAAATTTATTACACCGATATCGTGATTGAATCTGTATCGAATCTTTGTAAATATTTTCGGTGATACTTATCGTTAGTATTTTTCACCGATATTATTTGGAATGATAAAAAGTCAATTTAAGTTTTGTAAATATGAATAACCGATAATTATATTTGTCTCTTTAAAATGATATGTCGAATAAAAATTTCGTGATATGTCGCTAACACTACGGAATGAGATTCAAACGAGTCGATATTTTAACACGTCGATAACACGTAACAATCTAAGGGTCTACAAGGGCGTCTCGGAGGAGAGTGGGGCGCGCACGCGAGTTCGGGGCGGCGGTGCCGGGCGGCTGGCCAGCTCCGTGCCCTCGCCTCCGCCGCCGCTGTCTGTTGAGAACTGGTCCACCTCGTCGTCCGTCGAATCCTCGTCCTCCGCGAACACCGAGTCCGGTCCCACTGACGCCGAGTCCGCGTCCAACGCGAACGATGGGCCCACGCTGCCCGCGGACGCGAGCGGCGCCAGACGTTCGCTAGGGCACGGTGACAGGCGCCGGTCCGGCAATGAGCACACGACTGAGGAGCCGCGCCGCTCTAAGTACGAGCTACCCGAACTCGAGCAGGTGGCCGAGCTGAGACGACGGTCGCGGGCGTACGCCGCCGACGCGCGCCGCTCCGCCACTCGCAGCGCGGAGCTCGGCAGCGAATCGCCGCGCAGGCCAGAGAGGCGACGCGGTGGCGTCAACAGGCTGCCATAGCCGCCGCCGTAGGAGGCGAAGCGCGCCCGCCGAGGCCAGGGCGGCCAGGGTTCCTCGCCGATGGAGGGCCGCGAGCGCGCGCGCTCACACAGCGCCTCCTCGAGCGCGATCGTCAGCTGTCGCTCCTCTTCCACCGCCTGCTCCTCGGCCACCACCGCCTCCGCGAGCTCCACTATCTTAGGATCGTTAAGGGCCTTAACGGATTTGCTCCGGCTCTTGTAAACGATTAGGAAAACCATGAGCGCGAAGAAGCCGCCGAGCGTGGCGGCTATGCGCACGCCCGTCATGACGTCGTATGTGGCGTAGAACTCGATGCGCACGCGGTCCCGCTCGGCCTGCGCGCGCTCTGTGCCGTTGTAGGCCGCGCCGCCCGTCGCGCCCGCCTCGCCGCTCCATCCTTCTCTATTCTCCATCGCGCGGTCAAGTGCTCATCGCCTGTGGAAACATAAAACGATGTAATGCAAACTTTTATCGCACTCGCTAAATGAAATATGACGCGGGCGGGAGCTAGATAAAACTAGGCCGTTATGATAAGCATCGATCGACGTCGCTTTTTGCAATGTGTCGATTGAAACTTACTTACTGAAACACGAGAGAAAAATATTCAATATCGATCGATACCTTACTTATGCGATATATATTTAATTCTGCAGTATCGCAGTGGGTGGAAGAGCGAACAACAGTGTTGTCGCGAGGCGACTTCCGTTCGCCAGGTGCGGCTGAGCGCTCACGGCGACGTATCTGGGCCGCGCCTCAACCAAGCCGCTGTTTCCCCGCCTTTTATTTTTGGATTAAATACAAAAGTAGTTTTTAAAACATCAATTTCACCAGAAGGAACATTTCCTATTAAGTAATGTAGAAATATTTTGATTTTCAAACGGTACAGTTATTTATATATGCACATTTTTATCCGGTATGCAAACACAAACAAAGAGTCTTACAGTGTCATCGTCATCCAAACATCACGTCAGGCGCATATCATACCTCTTCCCCAGCGCGTTTAAAAATACCAAGTATTCAATGGGCATTCACCATTGAACAAATGTATGTTTTATACACACAATGCAAAATATTTAATCAACAATTAAATACCGTCTTTGCGCTACTGACACGAATATAATATTTTTCAAATACAAAAAGTCTTCGAGGGCAGAAAATTCTGAATTTGATGTGCAATTTCTGATTGTCCACAGGTTTCATTTTGAATATGATTTCTATAGTAATAGAAAAAAAAGAAAAAGCAAGTCTTACATGTTGATAGTGATAGATTAAAACTTTCCTTAATAGAATAAAAGATGTGTTGACAACTTTGTTAAAGAATACATTACAGTTTTAATTTACAACGCAGAAGGTCGACGTTCTTCTTCAATACGGAGTCAAAGCGAACATAATTAAATATGTATTTAAAGAGCTTTACATTCACCACATTTGCTAATTTTTCACATCTCAGTGCGCTAATATTGTTTTATTAGAGCTAACAATTGTGGAAAACATATCGCTTACTTTACGTGAACAGATACATTAAATTTTTACGTGTTAAGTATTATTTAGGTATTTAAAATTTTAACTATGATTTACGTTTTACAATAAGCATTCATTTGTATAAACAGTAATGAATAGTATAGTTAAACTTGTAGTCTATTTTTTAAACTAGCTGAAGTTCCAGCGCAACAATACTCGTACTTATTATAAAACTCGAAATTTAACACATCAAACGTGACGGTCCGAGGCAACTTTACACATCCCCTTTCGCACAAAACAGGGTCACATACGCGGTGTCTTTATTTTTAATTATTAAAAATAACTTTGAACAAAATAATCAATACATACAGTAATCTAATATATAATTAGCAATTTAAATTTTGTAAACTTTATGTGCTATTAACTATATAGTGTAGATACATATTTTATTCTAATCCCCAATGTAAATGAGACTATAAATAAATGCTTATAATTTAAATTAGGTAAAATTGATAACATCAAGTGCTATTTTCGTGTCAACAAAAAAACAACATCGAAACGAAAGCAATTATTCCATGGTTTACTATTTCGGTTGATTACTGGCAAAACATATCTTTATGTGTAACATAAAAACTTTATGGACCCTTGGTAATTAATCCGATTTCATTTGCTAAAGCGAAAACCAGTAACTAAGTACATATAATATATACAGTTTACTCAATCCAATTAAAACTAGCTTTGCTTTGTTAAGGACTTTACAAATTTTAGACTGCTTTGAATCATTCGTGACGAATTGTTGAAACATATTTCAATATTAGGGCTAATTGGAGCTAGCTAAAAATAAAGACCAGTTAGGTTATCTGCACCAATTTTCCGACATTGACCCAAATTATACTTTCGCGTTTTAATCATCACGTTAATACTATCCGAGTCCCTTAAATAATAATCCATAGACTATCTTACTAGAGCTAAAACAACATTGTTCTATATTTACGTAGCTTTGAAGTAAGGCATCGATGGACATACGGGCAAATTTCCAATCTAAACGTATCAGAATTAGGGCAATCATTGTTAAAAAAATTACCTTTATGCGTTGTTATTTTGGTTCGGTAGCTCATATTTGTTTACAACTTTTATTGCTTTACATGTTGAAGAGTGAATGAAGGTAAGCTTGGCGCCTAAAGAAATTATATCAATAAGACAATTTCGAGTAGGATCTACCGGCGACCGTGCTTTTGTATTTAAGAAGTGAATTTCTCTGAATGGAAATGTATGAAGTCAAAAAAAAGTCATAGAATAGACGCAAAATACCTTACCATAACCTTTATACAAAGGTTTGATACGTTCGATTTTTTGGACAATTCTATTCTATTCTCTCTATTTTTGGAGAGTTACCCGAACCTATAACCTCGACCTCTTTTGATATTTACACAAAAATGTTTTATTAATTTAAAAAGTTTCGTCTCATTGTACGTGAAATCACGCGATAGTTTCTTAGCTTAATATTTTGCATTATTAACATAATCAAGTAGGTATGAAAAGAGCTTTCAAGGCAGATAAGAGATTCCTATTATTTAGTATAGTCATTTTGCTCGACAAACTAGACATATTTATAGATACAGCACACCGTCAGCACAGTATCAGCGCAAATCATTATTGGAATGAAATTTTATCATTACTAACAAGCATTCGCAAAAAAGAAGACAAACGTAAAAATTAAGGCCGGTACTTAGTTGATTCGGTGTTCTCTAACAAGAACATTAAAATTCAATACAATACAATATTTTCGTTTTTAGTAATATATGAATTCCAGGTCATGAAAGCAAAAGTTATACAATCGCTCTTATAATAACAAAAATGTCTATATGCAAGGAAATCTAATTATTTTCGAGTACAGTACGGCAAACGCAATCAAGGACAATCACGATAAAATAAATCTTGTTTCACGATGCTACGACGTAATGCATCTGGTTGATATCGCATCAAACAATGAAACTAAATATAGCTACGCAGGTAATATATTTCTTGAAGGCACAACAGGGATCACTGTATATTGCACGTTACGCGGCTACGCCTGAGAATACGACGTCTCCAATAGATCTGTTGCTGTTTTTTCGTCAACGAAATGTGTCTATAAATTTCTAGCTCCCGTAGCTTCACCCCTAGTCTCCCAACATAGCGCCAAACAAACGTCGATCTGTCTCATTCGTTTTACAGATGATCGAAGACAGCTCAATCGTATTTCAAGTCCAATAAACATCCCGACGAGCCAATAAAAGTCGAGAGATTAAACTAAGGAAGATGCCAATGTGTTTAACTGCCACAAAGAAATATTTCCGATCTCTGTCTGAGCCACACATAATTTCAAGGCTAAACGCAGTTTCGCGCGTATAAATAGGAAGAACAAAGGCTTCATGCCAGGTATCTATCATTTTGAAATATTATTCTGCTTACAATTTAACATTTTTATATGTAACTTCAAATCCATTAAAAAGTTATTGTTCATAAATAAATACTATGTTGAAGTTAATTATTTTTACACTAATATGAACATTGTTATCTATGATTTTTAAACTAATTGCTTATCATCTTTACATCATATGTACAGTTATGTTGTTACAAAAATATGCCAGGATAAAACTAGGGAGTTCTAGGCTATGTGTTAAAGCCTTGAAAAGGTATAACACAAAAAATTTAAAAAGATTTATATCAAACATTTCATATAAATGCAATAAGCCAGGGGTATCAAACATTTTAATATCACTGCAATAAGCTCGTGAAGATTAAACCTATAAAATTACAGACACTACTCTGAAATTATGCTCAAGTAAATTCCTTGTACTTCAATGATATGCTGAGAGCTGTATAATTTTTAAATATTTTTTTTTATTTGTGAACTATAAGACCACAGAAGATAATAATTAAATTACACAATCATATTTACTGCGAAGACCCATACCAAATTTATAGCATTTTATACATATCCCATTTGATGTTAAATGGCAATATTTCCAAAAGATAGTGAGAGTTAGTTTTATAGAATACATGCTCCTTTTGAAAGGACAAGGTTTTGAGGTTTTGGGTGTGGACCCACATTGTTATTGGACAGAAACGCTGATGACAGAAATTTGTTTCAATATTTTAAAAAGAAATCATATGTAACAGGATTTACATAGCAATTAAGACGACAATTAAAGGAATTAATAGTGCTACTAAAGTTCCTACATCTTGAAAATAGCTTCAGTGGTGTGTTTCAAACAGTTAATTACTTTAATATTTTGTGAATGTGAAGATGAGATAAAAGCAGTAGTAGGCGCTATAGTTACTGTACGACTTTAACGTATATTTTGGGATTTTTTCAATGAAGATACAATGTAAATAATTTATTAATTTTATACGCAGTTTTTTTAAACTATTATCTTAGAAACAGCAATAAATATTTTGGAAACAAAAATAAATATTAATATAACAGAGCAACTAATTCGTACTAAAAATAAATTCTAAAATATTTACCACTTGAAGTCCATAATCCTAAGCTCGAAGAAATCGACAAATGCCTTGAGTGACGATTACTTTTTATGTACATGTCCTTGGTATAATGTTATAGTATTTTAAACACCCATTCATTGGAATAATAGAACCACACCACTACATTTTCAGAAATCCAAATCCAATATCGAGAATTTAAATTTTATACACTTTGTACATTTTAACTGGGACTATTTTTGGAAAAATTTCAGTCTCAAGTGTTTAAATTACCCTAAATAAATTCAGTACTGTCCTTATTGCTATTAATATCACGTTAATTGTTAAAAACACATCCTTGCGCCATCATTAACTATATCAAATATTTGAGAACCACCACCAACCACCACCTTTGACACTGATACTGATTCATTTCACTGATATCATTGACCACAGACAGAAGAAAGTGCCTATTATCATCGAAAATTGTCATAATGGTAGGATTTTTAATCTTAATCGTCCCGTACATTAATGATTAAATAAAAAGTAAGGAATTAGAAAATAGAATTTATCTTAAGTTTATGCGTTGGGTTTCTTTGTCTACTGTCTAAATATGGAGTACATTCTCTAGGATTAAACTAAAGGGGTAAAGAGAATAATAAAATCGACTTAGTTAGATTTTATAGAAATGGAAAAATATGTCCCTATTTCCCTATTTTGCAAAAAACTTTTTTAACTGGCAAGAATTCGGGTACAGACATCAATGGTTTTTCGCCATAGACATGTGCTTCATGAGACGACATATGACATTTGCATTTGACAAGTGGCACTTGTCATCACATCGACTTTTGTGTAATATTTACAAAATACTTTATTGTTTTTGCTTGTGATTTTGTTTATAACTATATTCCTGTATCGTGATTATTAAAACATAATGTCTGAAGAATGGATAAGTTACGTCAATGATCCAAGAACAACATGCAAATATGGTGCTAAATGCTATCAGAAAAACCCAGATCACCATAAAACTTACAAACACCCGCCAAAAAATGATTCAAAGAAATTTAAAAATAATAAAGGTGGTAAAGCACGAATGCATCCATACATAAAAAATAAAAATCCTGTAGTAAAGGACACAGAGATACCAAGAGTTGATCCTAGCTCTACTGACGATAAAAAACTTACGAAGGATATTTCAGAGAGTACGACTAATAATGAAGTAAAGGATACAAACAAAGAAAGTTCACCATTAGTGGAATCAAGTGAAACTTCACAGCTTTATGATAAATCTGAAGATAATAAGTTGTACAAAGAATTATTTCTTGTTGAGATGCCTTCAGACTTCTTCCAGTTTTACAAATGTTTAAGTGAAGATCAGTCTGTAGACAAAACATTAGCAAGTGTGAACTTGCAATTGATTGGTCCATATGATTTATTGTTAGGGAAACTTCCCATGTTAGATGATAAAGAATTGTACTTAGTTCATTGGCGATTTTTCTATGATCCTCCAGAATTTCAGGTAAAATGTTTATTATTAGTCTAAGAGTCGGTTTCTCCATCTTTAAGTAAAGCGCTGGATGATTAACAAATAAATTAATTGAATCATAATATTTTCTGTCAAAATAGTTTGTGTTTTAAAGGACTTGAGATCTTGTAAATCACCAATGACTTTATTTGACAAATGAGTTCCAAGTAGCTTATCAGGACCTGGACATTGTGAAACAGATGCTAACAAATTAATTATTTAACAAGTAATAAATAGCATTGTTTCATTTGATTTTTGTATTTATTTAACAAACCAGAGATAATTATGCCAGGTATTATTAGCATAAATTAAATGTCTGTAAAATATCTGGTTTCTGTGGTTTATTGTGATTACTTGACAATTCATGAAGATTTATTTTTATAGGCAGTTTTAAAGAAGAAAGGAAAGAGTGAATTTCATATAGGTTATTACCGAGATGATCCTGAAAGTAACCCAGAATTTGTAGCAAGCAATGACAGTGCAAAAGACTGCCTTATACAACCTCTAGCAGACAATATATTTGGGGCTGTTTAGTAAGCATATTTTATATTACTTTACTAGCTGTCGCCCACGACTCTGTACACACGGGATTAAAAATAGATGTTGGCCGATTTTCAGACCTACTTAATATGCTCACAAAATTTCATCAGAATCGGTCAAGCCATTTTGGACGAGTATGGGAACGAAAATTGTGACACGAGAATTTTATATATAAGGTTTAGTTGTTTTAAGTATTATAAGTTGTGTTCTTGGACATTGTTGAATTTTTGCATTTTGTTTGATGGAAATATGGTCAAGTAATTACTAGTGTGGTTATCATATACCATATTATTATAATTCCTTTCTAATAGATGTAAACTCACTGGGAAAATCAGTTTCACAGTGGCTGCATCAGTAAAAAATATATATTTACTAATTACCTATGATTTATAACATTTATTTTGTTTACAGCCAATATTTGCAAAATGAAAAGAAGGCATCCCCATTCTTGTCTATGCCTTGTCAAAAATTAATGGAGAAGATAAAGAAATGGGCAAATGAGAGTAATTTTTCAATAGATGAATATGATAGGAAAAAGAGATCACCAGTAACAAAGACATTGCATGGTGCCGGAATTGTTGTGCCTTTTAATAAGAAAACTGAGTTGGGATACAGGCCACTTGTTGAAAGCAATGGTAATGTTGTGAACATTTTATTTTAAAACAGATTTTTTTTTATTTATTTAACAATTCAATTTTGAATACAAATAAACATATGTTTAACGCTAAATAAACCTCATTGGTTTGGTATAAGCGTTAAGGTCTTTCGGACAAAAATATTTTGAGCTTGCACTTTATGTGCATTTAATTCTTGCTAATGTTATATATTAAAATGTTGGGATGGATGGGTGTTTGTTTCGAGGTATCTCTAATATGGCTAAACAAATCCCGCTGAAATTTTACATAAGTGTAGAACATAGTCTGGAACAACACATAGTTTTTTTAATTCCGGCGGACAAAGTCGCGGGCGACACCGAAAATACAAGTGGTAAAATGAGTTAAAGTCAAATTTTTATAAAAATATTAAAGGGAAAATTTATAATGCAAACTTTTTGTATAAATTTAATCTTTAAATTTCAAAATATATTAATATTTATTTCAGCAAATCTGAAGAAAATGTTTGCTAAATTAGAATCATCATCATCACAAAAAGAAAAAGATGAAGTGCTGTCGCAAATACAGCCAGTGTTAACATACGCCAGTATTGCAGTGGACGAATGTGATTTTGGGACTGGATTGGAGATTGGAATAGATTTATTTTGCTCTGGACTGAAAGAATTAGAATCTAATGCAGTATCTAGTTTATGTACAGCATATTCTTTGTTGAAAAGAGATGCATTTGCTAAGATTATTAAGGTAATTATAAAGTTTTCAACACATTTTGAATTTGCTTAAAGTGGTGTCATGATATGGATATCTGGCTAGTGGTAGGCATTGTGTTTTTAATGCTACATATGTACTTACATAATTAATTTTGGTATTAGTACAATACAAAATAATAAATTTCAAATTATACTTTTCAGGTACACATGAAAAATCGTAGAAAAGGTCCAAATATGTCAATTTTTTAAGAAAATTAATCATTATAAGTGTATAAATTTTGCTTTTTTATTATTATTTGACTAGTGCCTTATTTATTCTTGATGCAGGCCATTTAAAACTTTGAGATATAGTAATAACTTGTTTGTAATAAGGAAAAAAAAAACTGTTTGTACCAAAGTCTTTTATTTCTTATGGGCGCAAGAAACATAAAAATATCAATTTCGAAATTATTCAGTCCATTTAAAAACTATTCTTTCGGCTTGTCTGCACTGCTGAGATGCAAAAGTAAGGTAACGGGGCAATGGTCACTTCCGTAAACAGAGTCTCTAATAATGCTGTCACAAACTGATGTCACTAATCTCTCAGATACGATAAAATAGTCCAAACGCCTGAAACAAAAAAATAGTACAAGTTATAGTCTCAACAATTTTGGTGTTTAGATATCATATTTGCAATATCTATTCTTTTGCTTTTGTCCTTTAATAATATAGCAGAAATGGCTGGGCTGTAATTCCCCAATTGTTAATCTACAAACTTCCCTAATTATAATCTAATATCTAAAATTGTATTATTCCACATTAAATTGCGATAGTTACCATCCAACATTTTTGGCTCGGCAGTTAAACATGTAAGTCCAGAAGGTATAGGCGCTCGTCTTATCGGGATACAACAGTCGATATGTGTCCACGAATCCGTCGCCAAGCAATTCAGTCATACCCGTCCGTTCCTCGTCCGTGAAGCCGGCGTTTTTCCTGTTTGTTTTAGGATTCGCAAGATCTGGAAATACAACGATCTATTAAAAACTAAATCTTTTCATTTAAATTTAATTCTTTTGAAAGACAAAAATTATTGTTAATGTCTTAAATCTACGATATGATAGGAGTCTTACAATTGGCGCAATTCCAGCATGTTTTATAAGTACAATAGCTTTTTCATCAAGTATTATTTATGCATGAATAAATTGCATTATAATTGCGTTGTCTATCTAGTCTTTATTTAGAAAAAGAAACATACCTATTTCATTGTGCGAAACGTTCATATCGCCGCAAATAATTACAGGTTTTTTCTTATCTAATGATTTCACGTGTTTCCTGAATTCCTCATTCCATTTAAGCCTTTTCGGTAAAGTAACCAGCTTTCGACCAGCGTTGGGCACGTATGTACATATTAAATAGAACTGCTCGTATTCTGCGGTTATTATACGACCTTCACTGTCCAATTCCTCATCTTGTAGCCCATACTGTACGTTCATTGCCAATTTTGTTGTATAAATACCTACGCCTGCGTAGCCGTCCTGTTCACTGCATAACCAGTACGCATGATACCCGGGCACGTTTTTTATAGGCTCCGGTAACTTCTCTTTTGAACATTTTATCTCTTGAAGACACAGTATGTCTGGCTTCTCGTACTGTATATATTCTAAGCCACCTTTGTCCATCCACGCCCGGATGCCGTCAACATTCCAACTGGATATTTTGAAATTCCAATCTTTACCTTGACTTGTTTTTGAATCACTAGAAAAGTCAATGTCTTCGTAATTTGTGGCCGTTTTGTTTTTAGCGGGTGCTTTCTTTTTGCTATCTTCTGCTCCGGCTGAAAACGCGGTTTATTGCCTTAAAAGATTTTACTATTTAAAATATTACTTAAAATAGACAACTAACGATAAATATTGGAAGTGGACATGTACAGTAGGTATTCCTCTAGTGGCTAAACCTAGGAAATACCAATTCTCTCAACATACTCAGAGTACCCAAGACTTTTCCACTTCCGTTCCCTCATAAAAATACATCTTTATAGATATTCCACATACTGATTACCTCTAGATTAGGGATGTCTTTGCAACTCATGCCACTTAATATTAGGTGACCAGATATTTTTAATAGGTTTTCTCTCGCATTTTACTATTTATACCCAAACCCGATTGATCCAGTAAAGTGATTTATTCGACAATATATTTAGTATTAAAATCTAACCAAAATATGAGTTTTCATTACATTTGTAACCAAACCAGTTTTGATCACAATTCGTGTTAAGCGATCTGTGATACAAAGAATATTATGAATTTTATAAAGTCCAAGCTCGAAGAACTAGCACTACCATTAGAGCTGGCGTCGTAAGCGCATGCTTTGTATTTCAGAGAAACATTTTATTATAATAGTTTTATATATGTTTTAGTGAGAGATGTTTTTGGCCTACAAACTGAATATGTTCATTTTCTTTGCTACTACTACCAGTAAACTAAACAGCTTAACTAGACTATGCGGTGAAGAGAAAGTCAAGCCGTAATAATTCCTAGGAGATTAATGAGGTAAAATGAGTCTTCATTTCTTTTTATAATTTACAATTCCAATTTTATCTAAAACTTGTTGACTCGAAATTATCTCTTGAGCACTATATAATGTTGCCACTTAAAAAGCATATCTCAATATTTGGAAAGGATTCATACAATTCAATAATAACATTGTCTTATCTATTGACTGACAATATAATTGTACTGAATAAAAATAATAAATATTTGTAAGCAATTAATGCAGGCGATAAAGTACTACTCCAACTTGTTAGTTATAATTCAATAATATGATTACAATAGCAACTATATTACCCTTCCACTAAAATATTCTAATTAAAGATCGTACACATGCATTACATAAATATAGGAAAGTTATTAAATAAAGTCCAGCAAAGCCATTTGGTAAACCATTTATTAATCATAATTCACAATTATAATAAAGAAACAATGTCCACAGCTCCAATTTTAATTAACAAAACTAATTACCCTTATCGTCAGCGGCCTTACGCCGTCGTTTATTGTTGGATTCACCAGTGTCTTGTATATCCTGTTCTGCTTCTGCCGCCTTCGCTGCCGCATTTTTTGCACCCCTTTTACCTTTGGCGGGTTTTACTTCAGGAGCCTTTTCTTCTACTTCTTCCTCTTCTTTGGAATCTACAAATTAATTATAAACTTAAATGCATACACTCATTTTAAAGTTATGGAAATATGAAATGTTTTTTCTATTTAAAATACTCACAATATTGATGATAGAAATTAAGTACCTTATTTCCGATCAGTAAATCCAAGTAAACAATAATATCGACATACCTTTACTCTTGTCGTCTTTTTTCGCTCCTCGACGTTTCTTAGTCGTTTGTGTATCTTCTACTATATCTTCTTCCTTGTCCTCCTGTTCTTTAGGCTGTGCTTTTTTACCCTGGTTTTTCCGACTTTTAGTTTCTTTCTTTTTGGGCTCCTCCTCAACAATGTCTTCTTCTTCTTTTTCCTGATCTGACATTGCAGCATCAGTCTCTATTTTCTCTTTGCTTCCTTTGTTCTGCTTCTTTTTACCTTTTGTTGCAGGTGGCTCTGGTTTTACCTCCTCCTCCACTGATTCAGCTTTGTCTTCCTCTTCTAAATCATTGCTTGGCTTTGCCTGAGCCTTCTTACCCCTTCCTCTGCCACTGGGTTTTGGCTTTTCTTCAACAACCTCTGAATTTTTAGCTACATCCTCTTGAACCTCTTGTTTTGCATTTTTCCTTCCCCTTCCTGTTTCCTTAGGTTTGTTTTCTGGTACAGTTTCTTTTTTGGTTTGTTTCTTACGTCCCCTGCCTCCTGCAGGTTTTGCCTCCTCTGTGTGTCCATTTGTTTCACTCTCATCATCTCCACCTTCATTCTGTTCATCCAGATTTGGTTCTTCTTCGGGAGATGAATTGTCACCATTTGACTGCTCTTCTGCCTTATCTTCTGAAATCTTCTTTTTGCTCTTTTTAGCCGGAGGACACACCTCTTCATTATCACCATTTATAATTTCTTCATCATTTGCTTTCTTTCCACGTTTTGTCTTTTTTTCTATAACAGTTGTCTTGACTTCCTCAGCCTCGGTTGGTTCTGGTTCAGCTACTTGTTTTCCTTTTCGACCTTTCTTTGCTGGAGCAGATTCCGCAACCTTAACATCTGCAGCTTTCTGAAAGTTGAGTTAAATGGCATACAAAATTTCTTATTGTATTATTGTTTTAGCAATTGCCTAAGAATAAGACAATGTTGCAACAATTACAAGAAACACTGCGACATACTAAATAAGGTTAAAAACAAAATGTTTTTTATCTTCTCTTGCATCAATGTCTTTCACTTCCCAGCGATAATTAAAAACATATTTTTTGACCTTTGTTCTGGATAACTAAGAATTGCATCATATTTGTCTGAGATGTATAGTGGGTATAAAATATCAAAACAAAGGATTATCAATAAAGACTTCAATATGTCCTTAAAATTAGTTGCTATTTTTACAAAATGAAATGTGGAGCTAGCATAGGCCATGGTAACACATAACCCATAGTCAGTAATGTTTACATTTTGATTAGCAAGTGTCAACACAAAATAACAGTATTAATGATGGTATATAACATTTATTTTGTTTGTATGTTCAAATAGACTTCCTATACTATATTACAACTATAATAAAAAAATCAACAAAACTTACACAAATGGAACATGTTTGTCTGTATGAAATGACATATAAAAATAATAGACTTATTTCCAGTCAGTTTAAGCTATAATGAACGTTTTGTTTCGTTCTGTACTTTGACATTTAAATACGAGTTTTACAAGTCTTGTATCACGTAGTAAGATACGTTATTTATCCAATACAACTGGCGTCAGTAACAGACATATTATATCTTTATATACATAAGCTTTTTTTTTTATCAAGTGCGCCATTTTACACAAATCATTATAATGAGATATGAATATATTACGCCTATAGTAACTCAAGAACAAGCACGCGGTAAATCAAAATGCGCCGTTGTCAACATTGTATTTACATATCGTTTACAATAAATAATAATGTTATTTCGATTATCTTACATTCTTTTTTTAAGATAGACCAAAAGTAACTCAAGTAAACCAATAGATAAAGTGTAAAATGTAGCAAATACGTACCACATAATCTAAGTACATGCCAAGTTTTAAGGTTTTATGAAGGGCTATAGTCAATATAACATACCTTGCCTTTAGCAGATCTTGGCGCCATTTTAACAAACTAAAACTTATAATAAATTCACTTAATTTTAAACATACGCTCCCAGCTAACGCGTCTTCAAAAATGGGTGGCGAACGAAGTTTCCGGTAA